CATGTAAGCAGGGGAGCACTCTGCAGGTCATGTAAGCAGGGGAGCACTCTGCAGGTCATGTAAGCAGGGAGACTTGGAGAGACCTGGATTAACAGCTGCCAGAAAAGTAGAGACAGGAAGAAATCTCTAAGCTTTTCAAAAAGTTACTTTGCATGTGCTTCTCTGGTGAACTCTCATATTCTGGAACATTGGTATATTAATAGCCTACATCACTTTAAAAGTTCATTCTGAATAAAATTCTCAGAGAATAAATTAAAAAGAAAACCTTCAAAGTTTTCGGTTAGTGCTTCATTTGGGGCAATAAGATTCATCCTTAGAAGTTACAGATAAATCCTGCAGTAGGTGAGCTTAAAACATAAATGTGCTTTCCAGGTTCTTATTTTCTACAACCCAGCAATGATTCATCTTAGGGTGCTCCCCTGTGAATAGACTTGAGGGAGAAAATAGGCTGAGGGGTGATGTAAGGGACTAAGGCAGGTGAGAAGACTAGTAACCTGAGTGAGCAGAACAGGCAACAGGGCACAAGGAGACAGAGAAGAAAAAGAGGGTTGTCCCAGTTGACCTTGGCCATCTGGAGTTGACCTTGGCCATCTGGAAAAGCTCCGCTTTCCTCAGCAATGCTGTTGTTCACAAAACAGCATGGACACTCATGTGGGCATGCTTGGATGATTGCCTGAGGCTGTGTGGCTCACAAGGTGTCTGGGTTGTTGAGTGACATACGACTGTAGACTTAATCTAAATTGGGAAGCGTCTCTTCTTGAGAGATGTCAGATATAACACACACGATGATCTTCCATTCAGCCATCCAACCCTCCCCCTGCGCATTACACACGCCTCCCTGAGGAGTCTGCCAAAGCATTTTTGCCCAGAACAAGAAAGAAATGGGCCTCGGAGATAATTTTAAGATTCTGTCTCTGAGGAGGTACAAAACTACTTAAAACTTCTATGAAAGTATAAGAACTGAGCGACTTTAGAGTCTAGTCTGTTAGACTTGTCCTGAAAGGACTGTAGCTGACAAATGGAATAATTCATGAGGGCTGGGGAGAGGGGAAGCAAGAAGCTCCCCTCTGGTCCAGCTGACCACTCTGTAGTTAGACCCCACTTTGGCTCTAACACCCTGAAGAACTCAATGGAGCAGTCACTGCGCAGCACAATTTCCGGGTTACTGTGATAGTAAGTGTAGTGTCTGTAGCAAAGAGAACTGGGGTGTAATAGCACACACCCCAGACAGTAGTAAGAAATAAATTGAATGCTATATAGGAAAATGCTTTTTATTCTAAAGTGCTGTGCAAATGTTCATTATAATTATTACCTTCTATAGCAAGAAATTACAGGTTTATTATAATTTAGTCTTTAAGTACTAAAATGACATAGTTCTGAAAACATTATGAAATTCTAGTCTCTGTCATGATTTCTTAGTCTGTTCCTTATATTTCCTTTGTGTTTCTTACCCTCAGTTTTGTAGGAACCTGCTGATCAGACATCAATGCACTTGGCAGGGATTGCTTTATTTTTCTAAGAACTAGGGTTTATGATACCCTAAAATCGCCTCTAAAATGACTTGATTCTATGATTATGTTGTTTTTGAAACATTTCCCGTATCAAGGACTCACATCTACTGCTGCTTTGAAATTGAATATTTGCTCAAAAATATTTTGGGGGAACAACCGAGCAGTTAGCATCCCTTTGAAATCGGCTTGGTATCTAAGTTCGTATCCTGATACTCAAGCAAAGCTTCGCCCGTGGGAACTCGCTCTTCTCAGCCCTTGCATTGTTATTGTACACAATGAACATGATGACCCTGAACATTCCAAAGCTCTTCTCAGAGCCGCCTCTGTGGACCACTGCCTTGTTTTTCGAACTAAAGTGTCTGAGATTTTTGTTGTTGTTGTTCTATATGAAACATGAGATTTCCAAACAGTCAACCTCCAAGGCTTTCCTCAAATCTGTTTTCACACCCTGTACATCTTTGTTCAACATGTTCTGTCCTATGAGGTGAGTGTTGTCTTAAGAGTTTTGCCTAGCTGCAGAAATCAAGCTGATGCACTAAGAGACACACAAGAGATCCCTCGGTCTGGATAGCTATGAATTTAAACGGTCTATGCCCACTGCACACTGAGTGTGGTTCCCTTAAGGATAAGCCACCCTGTGTTACATGAACAAACAGACCTCGTCTCAGTGGCTAACAAAACAAAAGCCTGTATATCAGGCCAACGATGACGACTGGTAGCTCCTTGCTGGGCTCTCCTCTACATAACACCTTGTGGTTTAGGCTCCTCCCAGCTTGTGATGCCACCTCTCACCATGTGGTTTCCAGGGTTGCTGTGACAAGGGGAGAGGGAAGATGGTGTCCCTAGCTCTGAAATGCCTCAACGTGGAAGTGACATGCATCCCCCAAATCATTTCGACAAGGCGTTGGTCAAAACGACCCGAATAGTCTCAGCCAGTTGTTGGTTGCCTGGGAAATGGACGGGAGGACCTGGAGAGTGGAGCCATCATTACCCGCAGATGCCCCCGCTGCCAATGAAGTCCTATTCCAAATTCTGGGATGGGATCCTGTTCCTGCTTCACTGAGGAAAACCAAGAGATGACTGCTTCCTTCATCCACCTCCCGGTGCCTTGTACTCAGCCTGAAGATGGGCTCTCTGCAGATTGACTCCGCCTCTCAACTCTTCAGCCTTCAGCTTTGTTACTTCCGACATTAAACTTAATTCTGGAATCAAATATTCCTACTTTACAAAACCTTCAAAACAGCAGTCATTTGTGATACAAATACAGACTTGGACATTCAAGAACTGGATTTTAATAATAGTTTCATTTTACCAGGATCATCGAAAACTCACCTCTTCGGTTTTGGTTTCTCCTTTAATACCCTTTAACACATGTTGTGGTAACCACCACCCATAAAATTATTTTCATTGCTACTTCATAACTGTAATTCTGCTACTGTTATGAATCAAATGTAAATATCTGTGTTTTCTGATGGTCTTAGGTGACCCCTGTGAAAGGGTCGTTTGACCCCCCCAAAATGGGTTGCTACCCATAGGTTGAGAATCAGTGGCTTAGAGACAAGGCCAACTCTTCCTCACTCCTCTCTCCTGCTGCTCACGTGACCCTGGGTATATTGGCAGCCTCAGTCAGTCCAGCTTCCTCTCAGCCCTCCCGGCTGACAATTACTGTGACTCTCTAAGAATTTGTGCGCGCCCATTGCACATCATTTGCCGCTTAGTGCTAGGAAATGGAACTCCCAAGGTCCCGTCTAAGGTCTTCCTTCAGCGTGACAACATATCTAACTCCTGTCTATGCTCTTGTCCTGGTACTCCATAACTACTCACAGAAAGTGAGGCTGGAAATGCGATCCATGATGTGCTTTAACACAGAAGGCACACAGGAGCGGAGAAGAAGAGAGATGAGCCAGCTGTGGTAGGTCTTGAGGCTCTGTGAGGCTGGCTGATTTCCTATAATGTCCTCTCTCCTTTCATGTGTTGGTTTGAAATGATTTATAAAACTTTTCATAAAATCAAATAATCCAATGTTTCAGTTAAAAAAAAAAAAAAAACTTCAATGAAATAGTTGCTGTTATTGCAAGAGCCGAGCAGAACTCTGCGTTCTAATAGGTTGAAGTCACCACAATGAAATTGTAAAATTAGTCCACAAATATTTTCGGCTCCCAGCTGGTAGTATTTCAGGAGCTGTGAATTCCGGGGGGCCTCAGTCACTGAATGTTCTCAGCATTCTCAGGTTAGTTAAGACTCGGGTTCCAAGGCTTTGTTACCTTGCCCTTCTTTCTTTCAAAGTTCTAATCAGGCTGCTTTTCTAACGCAATTTCTGTCAATCTCCGTGGAATACTCTTTCTATTTGGTTGATATTATCAACTGAGCCGGAAGTGTAGCCACTGACAGGCCCACCCTCTTTGTTCTCTACACCCTTCTCATATGTGAAATCATTTGTAAAATAAGCTTTGTGTTTTAATACCGTTTCTTATCCACAGGTGTGAAGCTAGTCCTCATCCACCTTGTACCTAACACGTCCTGTTATTAATGTCTTCTTCACGCTGGTACAGGACACAGGACTTAGGAATCCAGCGGTTCTTACTATTTAATCAAGCCTATGTTTCATTCAGAGTTTCTTAGTTTTTACACAGTACCACATCCAAGGTCCACCCATTACATGTTGGTTGTGGGCCGTGGAGGAAACCCCGAGGGAGTGAAGTCCGGAGTGAATGTGTGCTGTTGACATGGGCATGTTCATGTCAAGATCCCAGAGCCTCAGACCTATGGAAGAATGGCAAAGCCTCCTGCCTCTACCTAGTGGTGTGTGTGTGTGGTTCATAGGGAAATGGCAAAGCTTTCTTCTGCTTCATGTGTGGCTATTGATAGTGTGTGTGCAGAAAATGCCCACCATAGCTTCCTAGCCCCTGGATATTTATAGCCTGAAGACAGTTCCCCTGCAGAGACAACTGCTCCCGCTGAGATTAGTTAAACCTGTTTCCTTGATCCAGCTGTCCTTCAATAACCCCGCAGCCTCACTTAACTGCTCGTAACAACCCCACCTCCCTGTTAACTCCCTAATAAACAGACTGTGCTGCCGGGGTGCCGACATTTTTCCAGCCCAGGGCCCATACCACCTGATTCCAGATTTTTATCCCTGTGTCCATCTGTCTGTTTTTTTTTTTTTTTTTTCATTTCCTTACCATCCCTAAATCAAGACCAGTTCTCTGGAGGTGCAACAAGGACTTGGCAAGATGGTTGTGAAATTAATTCTTTTAATGAAAAAAAAATTGAGACTGTAACACAGTTGTTTTTCCCTCCCTTCCCTCCAAACCTTTCCATATGTCTCTCCCTACAGTCCTCCCAATTCCTGACCTCTTTATTTCACTAATTGCTATTGCGCGTATCTATGTATTTGTATACGCATATACATTCCCAAATATAACCTTATCGGTGTTACTTGTGTGTGTTTCCAGGGCTGACCGGCACGGGACAGCCAATTGGTGCGCTCTTCCCTGGGGAGGACCACCTCTCCCACTCCCAGCTTTACTCAGTCGCCTGTAGTTCTCTGTGCAAGACTGAGGCGTCATGGGCTTTTCCCTGTCAAGGAACATTTTGTATTTTTATCTGTAAGCTACAGTGTTTTCTCTGAATATTCATACCTAATTCCCCACAGAAAATAAATAAATAATAAGTAAATAAATAAAAAAAATTACAGGTCCGAACCATAGCACCCTGCAAAGTCATCTTGCTGCCTGACTGAGGGCCAGGAGCAAGATGTCGGCCAGACCCAGGGCAGCTGAGTGTTCAGGAAGCGGCTGTTTACAGCTTGCTGGTGCTCAAAGGGAAATCCTTGGCTTAAGCACAGGTTGAATAATCTTGCAAGGCTTCTGAGGCCCAGTCAGCTCCTAATATGCCAGCCACACTGTCTACCACCCTGTCTTCACAGTGAGGTCCTGATCCTGCCTCCACTCTTTCGGCACAGTTTACCAGCCCCTGCTTCAGCAGAGGTAATCCCGGGCAAAGCCCTGGGGTGGCTGTGGGGAGGACCCGGCTCCTCAAGCAGTGTGCAGCTAGCCAGGCTTCCTGCGCAGTAACTTACTAAAACCCCATTGACATGCTGACGCCGGAAGAGGTGGGGCCATGGAAAGCGAGCTGAGAGCTGCGTTCCCTGCCAGAGGGATACAGCCGGAGAAAAGAGGAACCACCAGAGAGAACCATAGTTACCTGGACTGAAAGTTCAAAACCAAGACACCTTGGGCCTGAAATCCTGCTGGGCCTGGAAATCCCGCAAGGTGGGAAATCCCAGCCTAGCATAGTATGGGTTTTCCTTCAAGAGATTTACCTACATCTGGGACATTTGAGAGGCCAAGCAGGATCCATCCACCAAGAACACGCTGAACTCATAGTTTGTATTCTTATTTGTTAAACTGTTCAGTCTACTTGGTGAGTTTGTGATGCTCAAAATAGGGACTCCCAAAGATACTCACAACCTAATTCCTCAAACTGTATAGATGTTATTTAGAAAAGGCATTTGGACGATATGACTGCGTTAAGGATTTTAATGTAAGAGATGATAATAGGCTACCTATATTAGTTCAATGTCATCACAGGAGTATTTATAGGAGAGGCAGGAAAACCAAAGGTTGAAAAAAAGCAGTGTTATTACAGAAGTAGAGAAAGAGAGAGACCAAGGGCACTACACAGCTGACCCTGAAAATGGAATTAGACTGTAAATCACGAAAATTATCTCCCTCCGAAGGCTTGCTCTGAGGAGGTAGCTCCTCCCTAAGAAGGAGGTCACCCTTTGATCTCAGCCCAGGGGGGAGCTGGGACAGACTCCTGATGTACAAAGCTGTGAGTTGTTCACCCCAAGATTCCCCAAGCCACAAAGTTAGCAGTAATTTGTTTGGAATAGAGAACTAATATAAGCCTGTTTGTAAGGTAGAGACTAAGCCAGAGATACATGGACTCCTTAGAACTGCAACTCAGCTCCTAATGATCTCAGCACATAGCTGAGCTAAAACATGATCTGCCAAGTGGAGGGAAAGCAAATTGTCTGGAGGTTCCACTGGCTGTGTCCCATATGAACTAAATCATGAGACAGACCACATGATGGAAAAATCTGGGAGGACCAATTGGGGATTGTTGATCCAGACGCTAGAATTAGCAAAAACTACACGGCTATGATTCACATGAGTCAACGAGCTTGCTTAGCATGATGGAAAGAGATTTTTAAAATTAAGAATTGCCCCGAGAATTGAAATCTTGCAAGAAAAGAAACATTTTTTTGAACTGAAAAGCAAGTAAACAGATAAATAAAATAAAAACCCTAACATTATAAACTCAATCAATGGGTTTGCTAACAACTTACATGTATATATAGATATACATAGATAGAAGTGAGGGTCTGTGTACTCTAAGACAGCCAACAAAACACATCTAAACTGAACCATGAAAGGGAAAAAATAAGGCAAATAAAGGGTTTGGAAACGTGTTTATAATAGTGGCTATTACTTTAAAACTATAGGACTGGGGACACAGCCCAGAGACAGAGCACCTGCTGGTATGCAGAAACACCTACATTTGAGCCCAAGCATTGAAAAAAAAATCTGAGATTTATAGAGTTGGAATTCCAGCAAGGAGGGGGACAGAGAGCTTGGGGGGAGGGGAGAAAGAGAGAGAATTTTCTAAATTGATGGGAAACATCCAGCCAGAGGCTTGAGAGGCTCAGCCAATCAGAGCAGAGCAACCCAAGCCATGATGCAAAAATCCTAAGGCACTGTTGAAGATGATGAAGGAGAGCTGGAAGAATGAAGTTGGATATCATCTCTTTTTGTAGAAAAAGGCAGTCTCATAAAGATGTCAATTATCCCTAAGCTAATTCATGTGTTCAATGTATAAAACATAGTAAATTGTTTTCCAAACCTTGAAAAATTATAAAATTTACTTGAAAGAATAAGCAAACAACAAAGAAAGAGAAGCTGATTAAAAATGATTAAGAGAGCCGGGCGGTGGTGGCGCACGCCTTTAATCCCAGCACTCGGGAGGCAGAGCCAGGTGGATCTCTGTGAGTTCGAGGCC